GGTTCTATATGGTAATGGGATTAAGGGTCCCTATTAGGGGTCCCTCCTAAAGTCCCTAGAGAAACTCCTTGAAGGGGTTGTACAGGGGATTATTTAGGGGACTACTATAGGGGTTATTGATGGGGATCTAGGATTTGGGACTATGGCTCATCTATCTCAGGCTTTATGAAAAGGACCCCAAAGCATAAGGCACGGAAAAAGCCCACAGGTGAGCATGGGCGAGTGGCAACGGCTCGCTTTCTTTTGTCTGCTCGAGCTGATTTGGAAGGAGGAAAGACAAACGGCGCCACTCCGCTGTTTGTTGCCTGTGAAGCTGGCCATGTGCGCTCGGTTGAATTCCTGTTGGAAGCGCGAGCGGAGCCCGGTGCTCCCATGTCATCAGATGGCGCCACACCTCTGCTGATAGCCGCCCAGAACGGGCATACACAGGTAGTCAACCTGCTTTTGGAAGCCGGCGCGGATACAGACAGGCGCAGAACAAGTGATGGGTCAACACCCCTGATCATGGCGTCGCGATTTGGACAGCTCGCCGCTGTACGCCAGTTGGTGGAAGCTGGCGCTGACATGAACAGTACCAGAGAAAGTGATGGAGCTACACCACTCCTGGTGGCATCTGAGCACGACCGACTGGACGTCATCCAGTTTCTGCTAGATCAGGGCGTTGACATCAACCAGGCTAAGGACAATGGTGCGACAGCCGTGTCTATAGCAAGACAGTTCGGCCATCAGACCATTGCGGAGCTTCTTCTGCGTAGACTGGCAAACTGAGAGGTTTACGGGTAGGGTTATACGTAGCCAAAAGGGTTCTAGGTGTAGTCAACCTGGTTACAGCCCTGCTGCTCTACAGTATCATGCCATGAACTTCCAAGTATGGGCTTAATGTTTGGGTTCCAGGGTTCAGGGCAGACAGAAGGATTCACGTTCCCAAGCGAAGTTATCAAGATAGAAGGACTGCCTGGATTTAGACAATTCGGACAGAAGCCGGAGAGTTTGGGTACCACCTACTCGTACATTGCTAAAGATCTCAGTGAGGATTGACGAGGAAACGACACCGTCAATACTAAGCCTGAACCATAAACCCTCAAGCTGAAGTAACGCCAACCGCTGCCCGACACCATGTACCGAATGGAGGTTCCCAACAGTATGGGCCCTTTGCGATAATACGAGCTATGGTCTAAATGCTGAGTATGCCCCTTCATAATCCTTATGATATTCCCCATATATAATCTCGTATATAACCCCCCTTTAAGGAGTTTAGACCCCAAACCCTGGACCCTATATTATAATCCCCCATATAACTTTCTAGGGAGTTTAGCCCCCAAACCCTAGACCCTATATCCAAACCCTAGACCCTATATAGTCCCCCATATAACTTTCTAGGGAGTCTAGACTACAGCTCATCTTGTCTATTTCTCCTGCCTCAGCTGTCACGTTGGGTCATGAAAGGGGAGCCCTGAACTCGGAAACTACCATTTGTGCCACCTGGTTTAGGGTTTAGGGAAGGTTGAGACCCCTCACCCTGAAACCCTAAGTAAGCTGTAGGGTTTAGGGTTTAGGAGCTTAGACTCCTTGAAGGGATTCTATAGCGGAGTAGGATAGGGGGTATTACTATAGCGCACGTGGGCCCATATGCCGGGTCTTAGGGTTGAGCACTCGAAGGCTTCATTTTACCCTTACAGATAATTTTTCAGAATTTAGATAAAGACCCTTTACCTTAAATAGTAGTTTCCATGTTTTTGTCATTTTCCCAATTAGAACCCCAACGTATTCCCTATAATCCCTGCATATTCCGTATAATCCCTAGTGTACCAGATCTATAAGATCATGCTAGAGGCCGCCCAATTGTGGCCTTCCATTCATCTGCCTCGGGAGACTCAAAAAAACCTTGAAACTTGTTCGTAAAACCCACATCCCTCTAAAGCTTCAGCGGCCAGCACTCTAGACTCCTGAAACCGATGTAAACTCGAAGCCTTTAACATCCCAAAGCTCTGAAGCGCAAAGCCCTCACACCCCAAGTCTTGAAAGCTTGAAGCCCGAAGCTGCGAAAGGCCTTCTTGGAGGTTGCTGGGTTGTATTTGGCGTTATGCACACACCCCTGATGCGGCTATTCAAAGCTACAGCTCTTCTATTTGTGACCCTGCTCAGAACTGCCTGTGAACCTCCAAGTACTTTGCATGAACGTGGGGTTAGTAATGGGATGGGTTAGAGAACCTTCCATAGGGCTACACTGACAGCATGAGCATTTGGTTTGTTAAGGGGAAATGATACATGGCCTAACTGCAAGGTCCTTCCAAGCACTTCCCCCATTATAACTTAAAAGCAATTTGTTTATCACCCGGGGTCCCTAAACCCTGAGCCCCTAGACTCTGAACCCCCGGGGCGGAGGGGTTGGGTGTTTTATTTGGGGGGGTGGATTCTACCCTAAACCCTAAACCCTAGACCCGTCGACTCGCGGTTGGCAAGCAGGCCGCTCAGGAGTTGCTACGACGACTTGTCGCACCCCCATGGATAGACAAATCGGTTTCGGATTTCCAGGGGTAGGTCTGATTTTGGGTTTAGGGTTCAGGGTTTAGGGTTTAGGGTTCAGGGTTTAGGGTTCATGGTTTAGGGTTGTGAATTGCGGTTTGAAGGGCTTACAGGTGTGGGCCAAGTAGGTCTTCTGCGTAACGCTGGTGTTGTGCAGGAAAGGAGAAATTCAAAGAGATTACAGGACACTACCTGGTTATAGCTTGAGTGTAGGTTTTGGGGGCTGAGCGTTGAACATTTCGGGTCCTAGAGTTTGGGGCTCAAAAAATGTCAGGACCATATCAAAGTTGTATGCTAATTGGGTTGTCCTTATGGGCTAACTAAAGCCCCCCGTCATTATCATAGTAAGTAGCGCTTGTAGGATTTTATGCTTAGAGTTCAGGGTCATGTAGAAGCCTGAACAAGTAGGAAGACCATCCCATGTCATCCTATGACACTGTAGTGTACTACGTATGCCCTAAACCCTAAACCCCAAACCCTGCACTATGCCCCCGCAAGGCCGACTTTATTCTATTAAGACAGCCATGGCAACGACATTGTCAAGGCACCTACTCTCTGTGGCCTGAAGCAAGGCCCTAGTTTGTCAGCAACACTGATCTGGATCAATGTTAGGGATCCTTTTTACTTTTTGGGTGTATGGGATTCCTTATAGTTAGGAAAAAAGGATCCTTTTTTCTTCCTAGGGCAATGTGGGCTAGGTGATAAAGACAATGTGAAATCGTTTAGGGCTGCATAGGGTTTAGGTATCTGAAGCAAGCATAGCATAATGAACCCAGAACGACATCTTGTGTACCTTTGCAACCATGACGTTTGTGATGACAACTGCAATGACGACAAACATGCCAATCCTATGAGCAGGCTCGCGAAGCACCAGGCCCGCACGATCAATCCCTAGACTCCAAATCAAGGAGCCTCTGCCTAGAGACTTTGGGTTCAGGATTTCGGGTTTAGGGTCAACAGAAATTCAGATGGTCTCTGCACGGAATCCACACTCGGTATAAGAAAAACAAAAAATATCCGGCTTCACCACAGGGTTGGTACCTTTAGAACCACATGAACCATAGTCTAAACTCCTTAAAGGGGGATTATATAGGGGATCATAAAGGGGACTGTTATAGGGCTTATTAAGGGGGATACTAAGAGTTTAGACTATAGCTCACATGAGGAAGGCTTAGGGTATCCCGAACCAAGGCTAAGACCTTTCTTGTCCTGAATCTCAAATCCCTAGGCCCTCGAACCCCTCGACGGTAATCGTGGCTTGACGAAACCTCTGAATCTTCTAATCCTTTAAGTCTCTGAAGTGTACACTTGTGGTGAGAAGTTTCCTTTTGTGATGCACCAAAATGTTGGCGCCTATGCTCCCCCTAAAATGCAGTTTCCTTTCCGGAAGAACCCAGAAGTAAGACCATAATTTGGCATGCATCCGCCGCAAATTGAAATTTGGATGGCCTAGCTAACGCTAGACCGTTGCTTTAATCATGTCGCGGTTTTCATCAGTAAAGATTGGCAAGCCCTGGAAACAGTACCCAGTCCATGTCAGTCCGTTTTGCAAATATGAGAATCCAGTGCCCCATATCACGAAGATCTTCTTCCCATGAATCATCGTAGCTACCCCGGAATAAGCAATTACGGCGGAACATTCGGGGGCTGCTATGGTAAATAGCCTTTCGCAGGCCCTTGCAGGCTCTGTGAATCTTCATGTAAACAACTACCCTAAACCTGGCCTCTATCCCTAGACCGCGAAGCCCTGAACCCTGAATCCTAATCCCCAGGTCGTATTCGACCCTCGACGGCGGTGCTCTTGCCAGGCATCAGCAAGTCCTGTTTAAGTCCATTACAAGTACGGCCTTTTGGGGTGATATGGGGGGCTGTTACGATCTATTTTTTTTTATCAGGCCCTATTCTCCAAATTAGTTTGTGTGGGCGCACACGGGGTCCCCTTTTCAGGGTTCATGGCGTGGAACATGAGATCTAGGATTCTCGAGTGGGTTCAGGGCTCCGGTTCCTCCGACTGAGCTATGGGAAGCCCAAAACTTGGATATTTGGTTAAGTGCATACGGTTTCATGGTTCAGAGCTTGGGGGTTCTTAAGCTTCAGTAGAAGAGAACAAGAATAGTTACCCCAAACTCTAAACGCTAAACCTTGGGTACTGCCCCACCCAGTAACAGTCTAAATTAGGGGTCCTATTAAGGGCTATATATAACCATATTGTAAGTATTATCCAGCTGTTACTGAGGGACGGCAGTACCCAAACGAAACCCTAACCTATTCCGGTCTAGGATGTTTGTAGGGTATAGAGCTCCATGCCTGGAACCGTCCTTCCATTGAACCTACACACACCCCTGAACAAGGCATGATTGTCCTATAGACTCTTAAATCAAGTCTGACCCTTATTCTACGAATCCAAAATCGGAAAAAGCCTTGCAGGAAATACCCTAAAATTCTCCAAAATCCAAAGCCCTAAGCCCTAAACCCTCATTCTCCTCAATCCTAAGCCCTAAGTCCACCAAGAGGGAAACAACCATTTTTGCAAGGAAGCTCTGCAGGAGTCGAAGCTTGGCGCAGACCAACAAGGGTCCAAGTACCTAAGTTTTAGGGTTTGGGATTTAGGGCTTCGAGTCTCGGTTTTAGGGTTGAGGGTCAAGGATTTAGAGTTCAGGGCGTCAGGGTTCAGGGCCTAGGGTTTGAGGTTCGCGGAACCCCCCCCGCCCACCAATAGTATGTTATAGCACCTAAGCAGGAGCCCGTTTGAGCGCAAATTACTTGAGCTACTGACCATGTTTGGCTTACCAAGGAACCCCTAAGGGTGGACATAAAGGTCTTTCTGGTAGTTTAGTATAGTCCCTAATAGGAACTCATATTTATTGTGCGGGAATTATTGACTGTAGCTCATCGTTAGAACGCTGGCCTTTAGGGAGAGCATCAAGTTGCAGGCATTTAGTTTTGATTTTTCCTGGAAGATGCTTGTGTTTGCTTGTAAAGTTGTTTGGTTAGTAGAGTCCGAAGGAACGGCTCAAGTGATGATATTTAAGGCAGTGTTTTCTAGAGTCGTAGGATTTTGGGTTTAGAGCAGTTGAAGCAGTGCCGGTCAGGTTTTGGTACATTTTACGGTTCAGGATACTCTTCTTACCATCTAGGCTACCTATCTAGGTTACTTTTGAGTCGGTGTGCATGCCAATACCTTGCAACACGCTACAGCCCCATATAGGAAGAAGCTCATGTGTCGATAGATG